TGCTCCAGAGTCAGATTCTGCTTGGTTTGAGAAAAACATGTCCCCCTCCCACTGGCCATACCCACTGATTCAGGGATTGATATATAACCCAGTAAGAGCCACTCTGTGTGAGGAGACAACTTTAGTGTCCATGGGAAGAAGCAGCTTCCTTTATCCACAGAGGAGCCACTAAAAAGACCCCTCCCCTCTACAATGTGGGATCTGAAATGCTGCAGTCATTTTGCCACCATAAGGCGGTACCTTGACCCAGCACACTGGCAAGTCACCTGAGACAGAAGGAAGACAGAACAAAACATAGACTCTGATGCTATTTGGGCAGCAGTAGCTCCCCTGACTAAAGCCACACTTCCAACTTGGAATTTTCAGCTCGAGAACCAATGAATCCCACCTTCCCCCATTTTGTTTCGTTTAAACCAGCTGGAGATTGATTTTTGTCACCTACAATTGAAAGACTTAACTATAAAAACAGGAAAATTCACCTACTCTTCACATATGGGCATAATTCTTTCAGAACTATGCACTGTTTGCATATTTCAAACCGCTTTACATATTTTATCCTTTGTTCAAACTTATCATAAACCATAGGCATTTTTATGTATCAAAATATTTCCATGAGTGTGCTTTTACATGACCGTACAATATTCTAGATGGTGGGTTTGAAGGTAGGACACCTGGTTGAGATATATATTCACGTGTGAATGTGTGTATAAAATGTTGTGATAGATGTCTGAAAAAATCTTACTTTACTTGCCATTTTGAAGTATTTGTTGATTACAAGTTTCTAAAATCTAAATTAATGAATTGAAGTATGAGTATTCTGGGGACTCTTGATACAGATGGCCTCACAGCTTACTAGGAAGGCTGAAGCAATGTAAAACCCAGGACCCCAACATGAGAGTGAGTGATTCTGCACATCATCCTTACAGACTCTTAGCCTTGTTTGAGAGGCAAAATACTGTATCTCATTTTAATGTATAACGATTTAATTACTATTGGGTTTTAATAATGTAGTTACTAAAGAAAAATAATCAATGTTCTCTCTTTTGCTACTATATTTGTGTGTTCTCTGGATTCTGTGTATTAGAGGTATTAACACTGTGCCCCCTTCACAAATATATCTTCTGGTGTTTTGTTGAAATTTGTATGAAAATCTTTAGATATTTTCCTCTAAAACTTCTTTATATTTTAACATTTTTAAAAAGTGTTTTGGGAACTTATTATAGTATGTGGTTCAAAATATGGCTTTAACCTTCCTCCAATAGTTAATAAGTATCCTATTACCATTTATTGCATAATCTCTACTTATCCCATGGATTTATAATGTCTCCCTTCCGATATATTAAATTACTGATACCAGAACCTATTTCTGGGCTTCATGTCCTATCCTCTAATCTGCTTTTCTTGAGCCAATAAAACTCCCACTAATTTATATTACTAGTATGTTTTTATGAATAATAAATCCAAAACTAATTTAATAAGTTCTGGCATTATAGAAACACTGTCCTTTCATCTAAAATTATTTTTTTTAAGACTTCTTTCATGTCTTCCAGTAGGTTTTTTTTAAAGTTCCTATTCTCTTTCTGCTAAGGATATCCCTCAACATTTTATTTTAGTTGTTGACATTGAAAGTCAGAATTCTTAATGCCTCCCATTTGGTCTCTTTACTAGAAACTGGAAAATACTGAACCACTGGCCTGATTTAAACAAATGAGGAAGAAGGAATTAGAAGAACCGCTGAGAACAGGTAGGATAGTCTGAAACCTTCAGAGTCACTCCAGGTGGTAGCTAAGCTGTCCCTACAAGTATCTCTCATGAGGTCACATAGTTTCTAGGCTTCAGTTTCCTTGGTATTTAATATTAGACACTGAAAAATGTTATGTAATAAATTACTCAAAAAAAAAAAAATGTGTGTGTGAGAGACAAATTCTTACCCAGAAAAGGACAGCACTTGCACAGAGGGTTATCCTTATACACTTTCCCCAGGCAGTGAAAGGAATACGCTCTTCTTCCTAATAAAAAAAGAAAGTTAAGGGGGATTACTTTTCTCCAAATCTGTCGGTAAATCTTAATTTTTAAAATAGACTATGCTTATGAATCAATTTATGATAACAGACACACAACAAGGCATGTGCAGTGTTTATTTTTATAACCGTGTTTGGAAAATGTAAGCATGAGTAATAAACTGTTTTCCTGCCATGACCTGTACTTAGGAATCTAGGCACCTGTCAGTGCCAAGCCATAAAGCTGAAATTGCTGGGCTTGTCTTGGATTTTGAAAATGACTGATGACAGCGCAGAGCCCAGGAAGAAAAAAAAGTATCTATAAATACTAGGTATCCAGTAAGTGTTTCTTGGTTGAGGTTGAGCTTTATATATTAATATGAAGAATTTTTAGAGAGCTTCCATTTTATACTTAAAAAATTTTTTTTTAGTTGTAGATGGACACAATACCCTTATTTATTTTTATGTGGTGCTGAGGATTGAACCTGGTGCCTCACATGTGCTAGGTAAGTGCTTTACACTGAGCCACAGTCGCAAACTCTCCATTTTATACTTGATAAGAATAAATTTAGATTCTTAAGACAAGAAATCAATATTCCTCATGATTTACCCGGATTATAAAAGCACCAACAGTATAATAATAGCTGCAAATACTCACATGGTGTGCACTCTGTGCTAGATACTATTTAAAGTGGGTTTTACACACAAACTCAAATTACTTCTGACCACAGTGATACAGAAGTAACTCTATTATCCCCATTTTATAGATGAGGAAACTTAGGTACAGAGAAGTTAAGTAATTTGTCCCAGATCACCCAACTAGCAAGTTGCTGTGTTCATGCCAGGATTCAGGCAGTCTCATTCCTGAGACTTCACCACTGGACCATAGCCTCTCTAAACCAGTGCAGGATACACTGACAACAAAAATAAAAGGAGGAAGAAATATAAAGGAAAGAGAAGTTTCAATTGCAATTTCTTAACAAGCAACATTTCAGTGGAAATTTGACTTGTTATATTGTTGGTGATTTTAAATATAAAATTGATAGATTTAAATGACCACATTGTCATTAGTATTTTTCAATCTTGCTGATACTCTAAAGGTTTTATTTTTCAGCATCCACTTTATGAACATCTAATTTTGTCTAAGTATCAGCTTTCCTTTCTGAATATATAATCTTTCAACACATACTTTGACCCGTCTTCTCTAGTAAACGGCAGTAACTATTCATAACCGGGATTATTTGAAGCTTGTTACATTGTAAGAGACAAATGTCACCTTCTATTCATAACTGAACCTCATTTTTTTTCCCATTTATAAGATGAGGAGGTTGAACTGCTCCCTCCAGTCCCTTTTAGTGCCAACATTCTGTAAATCTCTGTTTCAATTTATGAAATCTATAGTTGGATGTTCTCAGCTGCTCTTGGTGAAAGCATTTTCTTCCCAAGAGCTATTTGTATTCTGAACCTACTGTCCTAATGCTGATGACTGCAAGCACAATCAGCTCTAAATTTCCTGTGTTGATGGAAAGAAGCAATAATGCAGAAGACTCAAAAATCACTTTCCAAGAGCTTTGGCATATATTCAGAGAGATCTATAGTTTTATTTTTTATCTCTGCAGCAGTAGTGATAGTAGCGAATCTACCTCACCAATGATATAAAATGCCTAGCAAGGGACCGAACGTGGCTGAACCTCAATAAATGTTTCTCTTCCTCATTCATCCTTTTTTCTGTGCATGTCCCAACCAGAAGGTGGAGTAGAAACTAAGGCTTAGTGCAAGATGAAGGGGTGGCTAAGTTAGGATGAATAAAGGATTATAATGAAGTGCATGTGAAAAAATGAGAAACAACTATCAAATCCAAAGCACCTTTCCTGTCACACATCTGTCAGTCTAATTTCCTTTTGGCATTTTAAACTTTATTACAAAAGAAAGGACAATATTTGTCCCCTATATTCACTGTTCCAAGTATCTTCATCCGGCTGAGCATCAGAATCAATTATAGGAGCTTCAAAAAAAAAAAAAAAAAATCTCTATGTCCAAAACACACCCAGGGTACTAAGTACTGCCAGAATATGAGGTGATAGAACTCAGGCATCAATATTTTTAAAACTCCTCAGGTGATTTCAATGCATAGCCACTGCAGTAAACAGACTAAACTGCATTTAAATGGCATCTCCCTTACCTGGGTAATCTCGTTTATTACCACGTGAGTACACTGTGCTTCGTATTCTGGCCGGGGTTGTTCTTCCTGCTGTAACTCAACAGTGTCCCATTCATACTCAAGTTCTGCCTGGCGCCGCTTCCAGAACTCCAAAAATAAGGTAACTAATGAAGGAAGAGAACAGGATCATGTGGATCCTCGATGATGAGTGATGTTTAAGAAATCCATACTGAATAATATTAGTTACCCATAACACTTTGTTATAAACAGAATATAATTTATAGGTGATACTGGTATTTAAAAGTAAAAAAAAAATTCTTTTACAGAAAACAATAATTTACACAAATTATGAAGCTGATTAGCTTATGGGAAAGGTATTAGGAGGACAGCTGCTAATGCTCTAATACCAGCACTTTATTGACCACTAAAAACACAAATAATATTGTAATTCAAAAGCAGTTCATGATCCATCCTTCAATCTGCTTTTTCCTACATCCCTTTCTCTCTCGATTCCTCCCTTCCTATGAGGTTGGGGGAGAAGGGAATGTGTAGTGCTCTCCAAATAAGTTAATATAATATTCTTCCATGTGGAAAGCTAATTTTCTCTGAATTTTGTATAAGTATGAACAAATTTTTCGGAATCATTTTTCAGAATTTGTAACTCAAAATACTAAATAAAAACATTAAATGTCAATTGAAGATGCAGTTTCAGGGTAAATTTCCTTGGCCCTTTCTGACTGCTACCCTTAAGTGCTTCCTGTACAGAAATTCTGAAATTACCACTGTTCTAATCACAAATACTTTTCAATTGTTGACTATTTGCAGAGAATAAAGAGAAACAAGACAGTCCCTCTTAAAGAAGCTTCTAGGTGCATGGGTGTGACAGGTGCTGTAGACTCTTCAGAGGGTCATGACAAAGGTGAGTACAGTTAGAATATCTGTCCTTTCTAGGAGAGGGACCATTGTATTGAGCCTTGGGATGACTGAGCTGAGTGGATGAAGGTGGTGGTAGGTGGAGAGTTGAAGCCCCTTCCCATCAAGGAGCTGGAGCTGCACATGAAAAGGTAAGGAGGAGCTGGGCATGGTGAAGCACACCTGTAATCCTAGTGAGGTTGAAGCAGGAGGATAGCAAGTTCAAGGCTAGCCTCAGCAACTTAGTAAGACCTTCAGCAACATAGTGAGATCTGCTCTCAAAATAATAAAAAGGATTGGGGATATAGTACTAAAGGGCCCCTGGGTTCAAATCCCAGTACAAAAACAAGACAATGAGGCCAGAATCCCAGGACCAATGGTCGGGTTTTAAATGTTGGGTGTGACACCAAAGGTAGGCAGCCAGGTGGGAGAACTGCTGGGGTGCATTTCAAAGGGCTCTGTGTACCTGAAAGAGTTGGGATCTGAACCTAAAGGGACAGAGACACAGAAGGTGGTCTAGAGTGAAACTGAAGGCAGGGAGACTGGCTGGCAGGCACATGATAAGGCGGCATATTTGAGGGATCCTGAGCAGGCCGACAGGAGGCAGGCAGAGAGAAGGGGCAGGAAGAGGTCAAGGATGCCAGCCAGGCTTCTGGCTTGTGCAGTATCTTTTATTCTACTTCACAAGTGCAGTGAGAGGAGCAAATCTTGGAAGGAAGACAGTTGGTTCTGTTATGACCAGGTGTCTGTGGGCTGCTTCTGGAGAAGAGTCCAGTAGGCAGATGTCCAATCTAAAATGTAGGGGAAGATCTGGGTGGAATCAGGAATCTTGTTTTTTGAGTGTCAATTGCAGCCTGACTCTGAGTGGATGGAATCACTAAATGAGGTGTACATTGAGTGGTGATTCTCACCCTGGCTGCACATGAGAAGCATTTGGGGAGCTTGTTTAAAAAAAAAAATATGAAGCCCAGGTACCCCAACCCTGAGATTCTGACTTAACTGGTCTGGAATGGGGCCTAAGAATAGTGAGGGAGGGAGGGAAAGAGAGGGAGAGAATGTGTATCCTGTGTGTAAACTCTAACAAGCAGGCTGGGTTGAGAACCACTGGAGGGGAGGGTGAAGAGGCTGGAATGCAGTCCTGCAGCCTGAGATGCAGGAGGAAGTCTTGGGATGTGGCTGTGAGGAGCACAACTCTGTGTTCTCCATGGTAAAGACAACTGAAACACTTCACAACAGTGTTTTTTGACTCCTACTTTCCAAGTTAGAGTAGAAATAACCTTGAGTTGGAATCGGGCTCAAATTTGTTGAGTGTCGGTGTAAAAAACAATGGCTCCATCACGGAGAAGCTTCCCAGGTACTGTGCCCTTGTTCCCTGTTCAGGAGGAAATGAGGTGAGTATCCACCTCTTTGTCATGGGGATAATTACCTAATGCCCTTAAAGGTTTTTAGGTAGATGGAGCTGTGACTGGTTGGTCTTGCTGCCCACCTGACCCAAGCTGGCCTCAGGTGAGAGAGATGCCCCAAAGAGACCCCTGTTGGGAGATATGAACTGCCACTGAGCCAACGCTCCATGGGCCACATATGAAGCAGCATGACATATGCCTTCCACTTACTAAAGCCCCCTACCCTCTGCATTTCCTAGTAAACACTCATCTCCTCCATCAAACAGAAGACCCCTGCTTTAATTGACCCAAGTATTCTGCTACCATTGCATATACCTCCACTCCCGAAGTTCTTTCAACTCTGTCCCCAAACCACAACTATGAAATCATTTCAGTGATCAGGTACATTCTCTCAAAAAAGGCACACTTAATTCCTTATGTCAACCCCTCTTCTGACATTCAAATCTGCTTCTAGATTTACTATATTTCATCTCCATGAGAATGTCACCTTCATTAGGGCAGGGATTTTGTTCACATCAGAAGTACTAGCGTCCAGTAGGCACTTAACAGATGAATGCACTAAATGAATAAACTGAAGGAAATAATTCTGAACACTGGAGGCATCCCACCATTGCAGAACCATCCAGTCAGAGCACCCAGTTGATGCCCACTGCTCCCCTCTCTGCACAGCTGTCCATATTCCACCACTCTCTGTTCTGCCATTCTACTTGGGCCCTCCAGTCCACCATGTACCCAGCAAGAAGCCTGGGTAACCTGAGACGAAGAACATACCATGGAGAATCTGACAGTTTTCTGGAGAGTCATAGTCAGTTCTTAGCACCTGGATGCTGGGCCAAGTCCAGGGTAGACAGAATGTGAGACAGGAGAGGGCATATGGTGTTTCCTGCAGACTACAGACATATTCTTTGAATATAACTATTGGTTTAAAGAGAATTGTGATTAAGGACACCAAAATCCTGTTGCACTCTGGCACTTTCTTTGGTTTGAGTGCCAGAAGCTTGGTCCTCAGTGTGGTGATGTTGGGAGGTGGTGGGACCTTCAACAGATAGAGCCTAGTAGGAAGTAATGAGGGCATGTGACTCCTGTCCTTGGGAGGAATTAAGTAATTTCCATGGGACTCCATGTAGTTGCCAAGAGAGTGGGTTGTTATAAAAGAGCAACATTGGTTTTGTTTCACATGGTAGATGGCATCATAGCAGAAGCATTGAGGAAGGGAGAGATTGATCTGGTGACACAGCCAAGGTGACCTCACCAAAGCCAAGCAGATGTTAGTGCTGTGCTCTTGAATATGTAAAACTGTGAACTAAATAAACCTCTTTTCTTTATACTTTATCCAGCATCAGACATTTTGTTATAGAAATGGAAAACTAATATGGCACCAAGGCATCTATAGGCATAAATTAAACAAACTGGTACTGATTTCATAAACTTATTAAAATTATACTGGAAGACTATTTTTTAAAATTCCTGTTATAGAAAGAAGGGGCTGTATCTATGTCAGATGAGGTATAGCCAAGAATATAGATTCAACATTAAGTCACCCATTTTTCATAGCTCCAAACATAATGCAACTAATTCAATTAAAATAAAGATTTCTGTGTCTTTCTAAAAGCTTGTACAAATTTGTTAATATACACTGTATTTTGTCAATGATCCAAATTATTTGCAGAGCTCTTTGTTATCATTTTCTGTCTATGGGGCCTCAGGTAATTTGCTTGAGTGTCATTTTCTTCATCTTTAAAAATCCTGTCATTTATGCAGTGTCCATCTAGCAATAGTAAGAACAGGAGATGATTCGTGAAAATAAACTTAGATTTTCTCATTTAAAAAACACACAAGCAATTCTTTTCAAAAGTAAGAAGAGAATAGTGGATGCTCTTTTCCCTCCTGCATGAACTTATGTATAAGGGACACAAAGGCTGAGGTTTACTAAATCCTGAACTTTAGAAGCCATTCTGTCTACTAAGTGATTAAGATGCAATGTCAGCAAGTTTGGCAAAAAATGATGAGTTGTTAGCAAATTCCCAACTTGAAGGCAAACCCTTCAAGGGAGTTTTGGTTCCTCATTTCACTTGCAGCCTAGGAGTCTCTGGGGTCTGTGGAAGGTACTGGTCACTCAGTACACTCACTCGGTACTTTGGAGTACTACTGGGCCATATCAGTGCTGACCCACAATGCCTTGTGTCCCAGACAGGATTTCCTGTTCTGCATCTTCTGTTCTCTCTCTCTGCAATAAAATAACTAGTAGAACTCCAAAAGGGAGCCCTGCATGGCAAACCCACACCGCCAGGAGGCTCTAGTTAATGAGACAGTTAAAAATTCTTGAACCAACATATAATAAGAGGGAAGATTGTCTGGGTCTTGGGAATCAAAAACAGGTTTTCCTTTTAGTCATGATTTTAGTTCATCTAAAGAAACATACATTAGATGAAGCAGACACCTGTCCACAAAAGAGGGGTTCGGGTAATCTAGCATTGGTGGTGTCACGTCCTTCAATGTATAAGGACAAGAGAGATGCTCGGGTCGATGGGAGGGTTCTGGTTGCTATAATAGTTTGCTGCTGAAGGAAGGTCCAGGATATCTTAAGAGGTCTTCAAATTATTCAGACCTTGTTACTCACAAAAGCTTAAAGGCAGATTAGCTTGCTCAGTCTTTATCGCATGTTCCTAACTTTAAGGTCAGAAGATTAAAAATTACATTTTTAGACTTTTAAAGCTAGGATTCTGGAAGTGACTTTGAAGATGCTAATCAGATGCATCTGAATCGCTGAAATCAGAAACCAAGCGGTGTGGTGGTATAGACCTGTAATACCAGTGGCTCAGGAGGCTGAGGCGGGAGGATCGCAAGTTCAAAGCCAGCCTCAGTAACTTAGACCTTAAGCAACTCAGCCAGATCCTGTCTCTAAGATATAAACAAAGGGCTGGATTTCTCAGTGGTTAAGCACCCCTGGGTTCAATCCCTGTTACCAAAAACAAACAAACAAACAAAAAAAACCCAGTTGAATGAAGCAGAGGCAGGGGTGGCAGGAGCTGTGTTATTTTGCTACTATGGGCCTGCAGGAGCAGTACAGTCTGAAACCGACAGTTGCGCCAGCTATTTCGTCATCCCCAAGTACAGCTAGGTAGGCTTCCTGATTCCCTGGATCCTTATTGATCCAGGTGTCCAGTGTTTTTCTGGAAATTACGAGGCCCCATTTAAAAGCCCTCAAGTGTAAAAATTAAAAACGACAGTCATGCAGCCACTAGTCTGAGCCAAGGAGAACCAAGAAGCAGGTCAGAAGCAACAAGGAACAGGCAGGATGGGAGGTGTTCAGCACCATTACTTCTGCCATGGGTAGTGTTCAGGGCTCCATGATCAGCGTGATTTGTTGGGCTGGTTTGGCTTGAAAGGGTGAACATTTTTCAGATAAGTATATGATTTGTAGTACATTGCTTATAAAAGGTTTTCTACCCTCAACTTTTGTAATTTCCAAAGAGGAGAAAAATAAGTGCCATATGCATCTGGGCACAAAAGAGATACTATGAGGAATATGATGGTGATGATATGAATAACTTCACATAAGCCTCCCGCCTATTCAGTTCTGCAATTTCAGATTCTATAACGAGGTTCACAGCAGTAGCTCTCATAAGGCAGAAGTAACAAGGAAAGCAACATAAAGCACTTAAAATAAAGAGTCCATCATACATACATATCCTTAAAGATATACACATGATGCTGTGAGAAGTGCTGAAACGCTTTCGGCATTCTAA